ATTATGTGCTTTCATGTAGAGAAAACCCTAAAGTCAATGCTAAAACAATATTACACCTGATACTTTGCTTCAGGAATTTTTATCAAAACAAACCAAAAGCAAACCAAAGCCAACTAGCATTTAAATACTCAAATGAACTTTCTGAAAGAGAAATAGAAGTGATCACATTAAAAACGACTGCCAAGAAAATGTCCAGAAATGAACCTTGTAAATGAAACACCTCTATAATAAAACTTGTAAAACACTGAGAGAAATTAAATAAGAAAAATGAAAAGATCATACATGGTTACGATAAAAAGAATAATGGGAAATGAAAATGTGTCTATATATTCAATGTAATCTCATCCAAATCACCAGTGATGTTATTTTAGAACTATTGGAAACAATATTGGAATTTGTAAGGGAAAGAAAAACAAACCCCAGTAAGTTGAATCAACCTGTAACACAACAAAGCTGGAAGTGTCAGTAAACCTGGTATAAGGACATACTGTCGAACCCGAGCCACAGTAGAAAAAGAAGAATGACATAGATAGAAATGGAGACACAGAGCCCAGTGAGGCCAGGATAAAACTATGCAGGTTATCTAGGAAATAATCAGTCATCTGTAGCCAGCTGATTTTTCAAAAAGGGTCAAAAGTAACACTGAAGAGGAGACAGGTGTCCACTTCTGATTTAAAAAGCCAACTCAAGGGTGATTAAAATGAAAACATAAGACCAGAAAGTATAAATCTAGGAAGATGGAACACACAGGCTACAGTCTATCAGTATGAGTTATAATGATGTTTTTTTTTTCTGTCACTGACTGCAAAGGTACAGAAAACAGAAGCATCGTAGATAAATGTGATCATTTAAAAAAAAAGAGACTTCAGTGCAGGAAAGAAAACAACTACTGGAGAGAAGAAGCAACCTGTAGAATGGGAGAAAAGCTTGGCCCACATTCTTCTGTCCAAGGATTAATACACAAAGCAGATATGGTTCTGAAGCAACTTAACAGCACAAAGATAATCAAATTTAAAAATGGACATATGATCTGAATATGTATCAAAATAAGAATTATAGATAGCTGAGAAATAATACAAAGAGTGTGAAAAGTAATTAACCATTGTAGAAATTCAAGTGGAAGTTACGTTGAGACACCTCTTGTCCCAGTTAAGATGATGTTATGGTCTAGATAGACATTTCTCCCCCACAAACTCACTTACTCACTAGCTGGTTGCACTGTTTGTGGAGATTTGAAATTTTGGAAAGTAGGAGTGAGTACCTGAAAATAGTGTGCCTCAGCTGGGAAAGACCTGAGGCTCATTTTGCAGCCAGCCCTGCTTCTTTCTTCTCTGCTTTTTACTCCAACAAGAAAAAGATGGCGAGGTATACCTAGTCCCCTGTTCCCCCTGCCATTTTCCCGCCTACAGCCACACCTTCTCTGTCATGATTGTGTTTTTCAAAATGATAAGCCAAATTAAACTATTTCTTTCTCAAGTTGTGGTAGGCAGGCATTCTGCCTCAGGGATATCAAATAGCTATTATCAAAACAAACAAGGATGAAGAAAAAGAAACCGTTTTACATTGTTGTTGTGGATGTAGATTGGTCCAGCTAACGTGGAAGACAAAAGTAATTGATGTTATTCAAAAACCAAGAGCAGATGTAACATATATGTGGTTGGGTTCTTCATACATAAAAATATAAGCATTCATATTCCTTATAGTTACTTTGGCTCAGGTAGCCAATGTTCATACAACTAACTCTTAGCTGTGTGGCCAGGACAGAATTAGAGAGTGATGGATTGGACTTCCACAGTCCCACTTAGGATCCATGTTTTATGACCTACAGACTTTTGCTTAGGCTCCACCTCTTAGATTCATAATATTCTTAATGGAAATAAGACCTTCTTGCCATACTGAACTTTAGGGCACACTAAAGAACTGTTCAAAGTACAGCAATCTCAAAGAAAAATGATCAGCATACCAAAGAAATACCCATACCACAAATTAATTACTATAATATTCACAAAAGCTATGACATGCAATTTACCTAGGTTCCTATTAATAATTAAATTCATAAAAATAAGTGTGACTATGTATGTATAATACATATATACTAAAGCATATATGTTAAAGCATATATATATTATAAACCTATAAAAATAAAACCTCATCATTTATAATGATATGGATTTCAAGGGAAGCATTAATTTGATATACATAAAGACATACAAAACTCTCTCTTTTGTATCTAGGGATTAAGATATAAGATAAAAGAAGATAAGAAACAGTTTATCTGCATGTACAACACTAGTTATAATAGGTGGTAGAAATAAGATCAGGGAAGGATAAAAGGTTTCACAATACCATGAAAGGAATGAATAAGATTTCCTGTTTTGAACAGTGGGATGACCATGTTCTCTATTAACCTATAGCTTCAGAAATGTAGACTGCAGTTTCTGTCCTGCCCAGACTCACAGATATTTAGTCCCAAATAAACACGCAGAGGTTTATGTTAATTGTAAACTGTTTGTCCAATGGTTCAGGCTTCTTATTAACTAGCTCTGTCTTAATTATTAACCCATTTCTATTAATCTATGTATCTCATTGTGGTCTTCGTTTACCGGAGAATGCCCAGACATTCTATCTTCCCAGTAGCTACATGGCTTCTGCTTGACTCTGCCTACTACCTCTGTCTATCCCTAAAATTTGGATTTCCCACCTGTCTAAATCCTGCCTGCTCATTAGCCAAAATAGCTTTATTCATCAACCAATAAGAGAAACATGTGTTCACAGCATACAGAAGGACATCCCCATCACAAAAGTGCTTAAAAACTGCAAATTCTGGTAAGATGAAGAGACATGATTCAGTCAGTGCCTGCTAACTTCAGGTTGTGAGGTACCAGGATGAACTCACTGACAGAGAGTTAATTCACTCTATTTAAAAATTCAAAATAACTGTAAAATTCACATTCATTAAGTTAACAGTTGTTTCAGATTAACATTTAACAATGTAAAGTGTTGTAGTTGAACTCCTGTATTGTTAAAAATAAATGCATGTAATATTTACATAGAACAAAAATTAAGTAGGTTAGTTATGGTTTTGCAAATCCGAAACTAGAACTTCACTAGTTTAAGAAGGTATAAATGTTTAAGAGTGGACTGGACAGTACAATGCAACTTTAAAATGAAATTAAAGTCTTGTTGAAATATAATTAATTACTTCAAAGAATTCATGATTAAATAAAGAGTAGAACTTGGAGAAGAGGAGCACATAATTTAACCCTTACCTTACATAGCATGTATGCTTAGCTTTGAAAGGATTCAACTAATTCACATCCACCTCTACAAAATCAATTTAGTTCAAACATAAAAGGGCTACTCAGTTCTTCATTATATATAAATTCACTTAAAAGTACATAAGACCAAGGATAGTCAAAACCACCATGGACCATAAGAACACCGGCAGTAAAAGATTTCAAGTTATATTACACAGCCATAATAATAAAAGTGCATGATACTGGCACAAAAATGGACTAGTTAATCAATAGAATAGAAGATCCAGACGTAACTCCACATAACTCCATGCAACTACAGCCACCTGAGTTTTGACAAAGAAGCCCAATAATATATGTTGGAAAAGATAACCTCTCCAACAAATGATGCTGTAACAATAATATAGATAGAAGATAGCCTTTTCAATAAATGCTACACCAAAAAAAATATACATTTGTTGGGATCAGGATCCCAACTTGATCCTTTTCTTTCACCCTACCCAGAAAATTAGTTCCAAGTGGATAAAAACCAAGTATTAGACCTGAAACTAAAACAACTAGGGGATTAAGTAGGAAGGACATATAAAGGTAAATAATGGAATTTCTAAATATGATTCCAGTAACTCAAGAAATAATGTAAACAATGGACATGTGGAATCTCATGGTCCTTTTCTGCAAAGAATACCATTAAGATAATGAATAAGCAGCCTACTAAATGGAAGAAAGGCTTTCCCTGATCTATGTTTGACAGAAGACTAAAACAAGCAAGGACCAAAATTAACCTCTCCCCAAAAAACGAACAACACAAATAACAAACCATCTTGGGAATTGTACTGAGAGTCCTATAAAGAAGAAACACAAATAGCTAATAAGTACTTTAAAAAGAATAACAGTCTCCAACAAATATGTAAAAGGAGTAATGAAAGCTTTTTCTCTGGCTCTCAGTGTTTCTCAATTGCCTGTAGTTCTTTCTCTTTACTTGAGAAAGAGCAGGAGTGTAGAACTACATGTGAAGGGAAGAAGGGAGGAAATATAAAAGCAGGAAAGTCATATTATATTTCAATTTCAAAATAAAAATATTTTTAAATGAATAGGATATTTTGGGTAGATGAGTGAGTAATGAAACAATATCTCCAGCAAAGAGAAAAATACTGGAAATTGGGAAGACAGAGATCAACTGTAATGTGAGTTAGGAAAATTCAGTTGATGGTATTTTGAAGACTTTCACAAGTTCTATCCAGAGTGAAAAATTCTCTAAAAATGAACAAAACTGTGAAAATTACAACCTTGCATAGAAGAAAAAACATTTTAACTAGGACGAGAGTATTAGAAGTGGCTTTCTCTGCATCCTGGTATCTGCTACTATGATAGGACTGTTTTTTATCTACAGAAGGAAAGGATTTTATATTCAATATTTTGATTTTTGTATGTTTGTAGGAGTATGTGTAGACACAAGTTCTTCCATTTCATGCCATATTTACTTTTCCAGAGAACATAAACACAAAGTAATATAAAATCAATTAAAAATAAAATTGCAGTTTTTCATCATCAGTCCCTGGCACTAGAGACTTGCAATGCCAAATAATAAAAGAGCTCTACCTTTCTTTTACAAGGAAAATGAGCAATTTAATTAAGAGACTACAGAAATTTCACCCAAATTTAGTAAACACTTTGCCATTTTGTTAACTATATGAAAATTAAACAGGTTGACTTAACTGGCTTGGTAACAAAATTATTTTGCTTTACCTGAAGAGCACTAAGTAAATCCTTCAAATGAGGTCCAAATTTCTTATGTTTAAGTCTCTTGTCAAAGATGACAGGTTCCTTTCTTTTCCGATGTCTTAGTTTGTGTGAACCTACAGGTCACAAGTAAAGCAATCCTGTGTCATGTCAAAGTCAGTAAGAAAACACACCATATACTTCTACACATCATAATAAGCCCAGTTTGTCATGGAAAGGCAAACGAATTATTTTTAAACAAACTAAAACCAATGTATATTTTAGAATGCAAATTCTTCTACAGTAGTAATTCTCGAAATACAATTATTTGAAAATGAAATTCATCACATCTGCACTGCCCTATTTTGCAGTCAGCCACTGTGTATGTATCTTAACTGCAGAAAGAGTGTTTCCTGTGGCTGAATTAATTAGTTCTGAATTTAATATAGAATTAAATAACCATATTTAATAAATTATTAAGATTTGATGGCACAGCCCTAAAATATCCCCCCTACAAACCCACCTTCATATATCACAACATACTTTGTGGTAATAAAGAACACTAACAAGTGAGATCTTTTTGAAACAACACATATTAATAATGTAATAATAGTAACAGTAGTAATAAATGTAACTAATCTTTTCATTTTCATACACATACCATTGCACTTTTTTCTTACTTGACACGTTCTTACTCACTGTACTCTCCCTGCCCCTTTATCTTTTCTCCTTACATAGCCCCTTCATGTCCTACATGTATATGGCATGTCAGCTTTTTCTACAACTGTTATGACTTTTCTTTATATTTGAGTGAATGAAATGCCTTGGATAACATATTGTCCTTATCTAGTCATTTTTATTGTTGATGACAAGGCTGGTTTTATATTATAGATATTGTTAGTAATACAGTGACAGTAATGATATAACTAGATCATACGGTAAATTTATTTAAATTTTTAAAAATATATTTTTAATTATGTGTAAATTTGTGTGTGTGTGTGTGTGCATTTTTGAGTATGCACAAGTAAGCAGTTGCTTATGAAGCCCAGAGATACAGGCAGTTGTGACCAAACTCAGGTCCTTTGCTTAGTGGTGTGCATTCCTAACTGCTAAGACATCTCTCCAGGCCCTTATTTTCAGGTTATTCTTTTTCTTTTGTGGAACCTCCAGAGTAACTGTACAAGTTTATAATCCCACCAGCAGTGAGTAAGGGTTTTTCTTACCTCAAACCCTCATTAGCATTTATTCTCTTGATTACAGCTATTCTAAAGAAGCCAAGATGTAATTTCAATGCAGGTTTATTTTGAGTATCCCTAATGGGAAAAGTTGTTGAACATTTTTCAAATGTTCATTGTCCATTTGTGGTTCTTTAAGAAGTGACTATTTGAGTTTTGGGCATATGTTCTGATAGAGATGAGCTTTCTTTTTCAGAACTGTTGCAGATGCACCCCAAATGTTGAGGTATGTTGTAATTTCCATTTGTATTTCTTTAATATCTGAGTGTCCAGACTTCTAGGCTACTCTTGTTCTTTGCCTGCTTGCTCTTGTCCTCATTAGGAAGTCCATTCCTCCACTGCATTCAAAACTAATTCTTCAAGATTCCATTGTATAGGTAAAACCAGTTGAGACATCTAGCCTAATGGAATGAAAAACTAAAGAATTCTTGGACCTTCTGTTCAGAGGCAACCATTGTTGGATTAAGTAGACCATAGCCTGTAAGTCATTCTAATAAATTCCATTTCTATATGTAGAGAAGGATTCATTCTCTAAGTCTAAGATCCTGATTAGCACACTAGGTAAATAGATTTGGTATAGTTCATTTAAAAAAACCAATTATGCACTTTAAACAAAAAGTACATTAATAAAAGGGAATAATGAGTGACATAAATATACACTAGTTAATTTGTAGTGTATAAATATAATGGTTGGGTGTGATGTTCCTTGATTTGGTGAAAAACAACAACAACACTATAAATATAGTATTTATCACAGAGCAATACCTGAAGGAAAATGGTATTAATAAAGAAATATAGTTTGTCTGTGCTTTATGAATGGGACCTGACTCACTCTAACTAATTAATTATGCTCTTATACTCACCAGGTAAATTAGTTGGAAAACATAACAATGGTAAAAATGCGAACCATGCAAGTAGAGTGGCAGCAAGGAAACCAGCCCAACAATTGACTTGCTCCCATAGAAAGTTGTAACCTACCCTTGAATAAAGAAAAATGGGAAATTTAAATTAGGAGTATTTAAAAAACAAATCATAATTAGTGGGGGACAGAGAATTTTCTGTTAATTTGCATTAATTTTTAATGTGTCACTACTAATTTGTGGGTTTTGTTTACAAGGGTTGGTTGTGTGGTGCATTCTTCCTCCCATAAGAGCCTGACTTTCCCATTTCCTTTTTTAGTGACACTACTCAAGTTCCCATTTGTTCCTATTCAAAATTATCTCCATTAAATGTTGTGCCCCTGGAAAACCAAGTCTTCCTTCTATATCCTGCTGCTTTAAATCTTGCACCTGGACATCTGGGGCAAGAAGCCTTGCACTTAATCTGCACACCTTCTCCTGTGTATGGTATCTGACCCTTGCAGTCACATATCAAGTCCTTTCATTGGTGTCTCTTGTGGTCAGTGTATTTGATACTTCTTTGGTCTTTCCGTTTTCTGTACAGGACCATGTGCATTCTTCCTAAGCTTTCCTCTGCCTCTCATAAAGCTTAGCAGCTTCCTACTTTGTTGACTCAGAGGTCTTTATTCTTCTAGTATTCTGCATACCCTCTGGCTCTTACACTCTTTCTGCCTCCTCTTCTTCAGGGTTGCCTGAGCTCTGAGGGGAGGGTTCTGATGGAGATATCCCATTTAAGGCTGAGTGTTCCAAGGTCTCTCGCTTTCTTTGTAATGTCTGTCTGTGGTCTCTACAGTGTTTCCACCTACAGTGGGAAGACATTTCTGTGATGAGGACTGAATGTTTACTGTTTTGATTATTATGTGGTGGGACACTTTCTTTTCTGGTTCAATGTAACTGGTGTTCTGTATGTTTCTTGTGCCTTAGTTGGCACCTCATCTTCCTTAGGTTAGAAAAAAATTTCTTCTATGATTTCACTGAAAATATTTTATGGGCCTTTGAGCTAGTATTCTTCTTCTTATATTCCTATTAGCCTTAATTTTTGTGTCTTCATAGTGTGCCAGATTTCCTGGATGTTTTGTGTCAGGAGGGTTTTGATGTTTTGTTTTTGTTTTTGTCCTACCATTTCTTTTACCGGTGTATAATTTTCTTCTACCAGATTGTCAATATCTGAGATTTAACTTCCATGTCTTGAATCTTGCCTCTTCTTGCCTCTTTTAGCTATGGTTGTAATTCCTAAATTTTTATTTCCAGAACTCTCTCAGTTTGGGCTTTCTTTATTGATTCTTTTTCCAGCTTCAGGACTTGAACAGTTTTATTCATTTCTTTAGACTGTGTTTTCTTGGATTTCTTTAAGGTATTAATTCATTTTGTCTTGAAGGACTTCAACCATATTCAGATAGTTGATTTTAAGGTCTTTTTCTCCAATTTCGTTTCCTCCAATTTGGGGGGGGGGATGTGTGTGTTCCTGGATTTTTTTAAGGTTTTATTAATTTCCTCTTTTATAGTCTCTATTATATTTATATAGTTGGTTTCAAGTTCTTGTCCCTGTGCTTCAACAATGTTGGAACATTCAGGACCTGCTGTGGTGTAAGAGCTGAACTCTAGCAGAGACCTAGTGTCTTGGCTCTTATTGTGATCCTATGCAGGCATCTAGGTGTCTGGGTTTGGCAGAATTGTCCGTCTAGGTGGCAATTTCTGAATTTCTCTTTGTTGGGTAGTGTTTACTCCTTGGTTTCTATTTCCTCTCTGGATTTCTGAAGAGGGTGATGATTGTGTATTGACTTGTTTTACTGGTCTGGTGTGTTCCTAAGGAATGAATGTTCCTGTTGGATGCTCAGATGCTGGGATGAATTGGGAAAAGGAAGGTTGGTCATTGTGACTCACTCTCCAGGGGGTCAAAGAGTTTGAAAGGGAGACCACAGAGTGGGCAATAAAATTGGTGTGATTGGAACTCAGGCAAAACGTGGATTCATGTTCAGCCTACTTGTTTTTCTGAGAGCAGTGATCCCTAGGTTAGCAGAGAGTGTTTAAGACTACTGGGCCTGGGACAAAACAAGGTGTGGATGGGGGGAGGTAAAAAGGGGAAGACCAGTGGAATGTCCAGCAGACGGATGCAAGGGGACAGTGAAAACTGCCATGGGTGCTCTGATGCAGTAATATCACTGCCTTTGTCATTAGCTTTTCAGAAATTCTGGCCAAGATACTTGTTTTCTCTGAGTTTGTAGTCAATTTTACTATTTAAAAGCTAGACAGCAATTAGATTCAGGCTTGCCAAGATTCTACTGTCAACACAACGTAGGTTTTTCAGCACAACAAAGGATACATAGATGCAATTTTTTAATAAAATATTTGTTAACCAAACACAAGATCACAGTGAAAAGATTATTCACCATAATCAAGTAGGCTTCATCCTAGAGATGCAGGTATGGTTCAATGCACATAAATCAGTAAACATGGACTATAACATAAACAGAATGAAAGACAAAAAATACATCATCATCCTTTGAAAAACTGCAACAGTACCTTATGATAAAATTTCTGGAGAGATTAGGGATATGAGGGACACACACTAACATAACAAAGGTTATTTTCTTCAAGTTCACAGTCAGCATCAACCTTAATTGGGAAAAACTCAAAGCATTCCATTAAAATTAAGTATATGAACAAAGAACTCTCTCCATACCTACTCGTTATAGAACTTTAAGTCTTAGGTAGAGTAATAAGTCCACAAAAGAAGTTCAAGGTGACACAAATTGGAAAGGAAGAAGTCAAATTATCTTTATTAACAGATTAAATGATATTTTATGAACAATAGACCATAAAGAGTCTTCCAGGAAGCTTCCACAGCTAATAAACACTTTTAGTAAAGTAGCAAGATAAAAAAATTTGACACACAAAAATTACTATCCTTCCTATACGCAAATGACAAATTGAGAAGAATTAGGGAAACAAGACTTTTTTACAATAGTCTTTAAAAGATCTTGAGATCATTCTATCCAAGTGAATGAACAACTTAGGTAATAAAAATTTCAAGACACTGAGAAATCCAGAAAAATGTGATCTTCCATGCTCATAGATCATAAGAGTTAATACAGAGGAAATGGCCATCTGGCCATCTTATGAAAAACAAACTATAGAATCAACAAAAACTCCATCAAAATTCTAACACAGTTTTTCACAATAAGGGAATAAAACCTCAAATACTTTCTTTCATCTTTTCTTTCTTTTCTTGGTTTTTCGAGACAGTGTTTCACTGTATTATTTTGGAGTTTGTCCTGGAACTTGCTTTGTAGACCAGGCTGGCCTTGAACTCACAGAGATCCACCTGCCTCTGCCTCCTGAGTGCTGAGATTAAAGGCATGTACCACCAATACCCAGCCACCTTCAACTTCTTATGAAAACACACACACACACACATACACACACACACACTAAAACAATCCTGAAAAATGAAAGTATTGCTGAAGGTATCAGGATCTTTAATTTCGACTTGTAATATAGTATGGTATTGACTTTACAAACAGCACATTGGTCCATGGAATCAAACTGAAGAACTGCATATGTACAGATATTGAATATTTTATTTCAAAACCAAAAATACACATTGGGGAAAAGATAATATCTTCAAAAATGGTAGTGTAAATTGGAGAGCTGCACATAGGAAGATGCAAATAGATCTATATCTGTCACGATGCGTGAAACTCAATTTCAAGTGGATCAAAGACCGCAGAGTACAACCAGAGACACTGAATCTGACAGAAAAGTGAATAGGGACTAAGCTTTCACTCATTTACACAGTAAAGGACTTTCTGAGCAGACCTCTAGTAGCAATTAGACCAACAACTGATACTTGGAACCTCATGAAGCTGAAAAGTTTCTATGACGCAAAGGATACACAATCATTCAAGCAAAGCAACAGCCAAAAGAAGGTGTAAAGATTTCTACTAATTACATGTTTGATAGAATGTTTCAATTATATTAAGGGCTAAAATACTGACCTTCAAGAAAATAACCCAGTTTAGAAGTGGAGTATAAAACTAAGCAGTGCCTCAACAGGTGGAACACAAATGGTTGAGGAAACACTTAAAGAAATGCTCAACAACTTTATGTATCATGGAAATGCAAGTTGACACCTGTCAAATGGTCAAGATCACAAAACAGGTGACAGCATGTGCTGATTAGAGTGTGCACCAGAACAATCATTATGGAAATAAAGGTGGAGTTTCTTTCAGGAAGCTGGGAGCCAGTCTACTTCAATCCAATTATAACACCCTTGGGCACATACCCAAAGGACTATACCGTGACACTTGCTTATCCATGTTCATTGCTGCTGTAATCATAGTAGCCAGAAATTGAAAAGAACATAGGCATACATCAACTGATGAATGAACACTAAAAATGTGGCACATTTATGAAATGGAATATTATACATCTGTTAAGAATGAAATTATGAAAGCTGCAGATATGTGGATGGAACCAGAAAACAAAACAAAACAAAATGTCCTGAGTAACACAGATCTAAAAAGAAAAGCACTATGTATTTCCTCTTATACATGGATGTTAGTGCTCAAACCATTGATATGTGTGCTATAATACAAATAATACAGAGGAACCCGCTAAGGGATAAAAAATAAGGAAAAGCTATCCCAAGGAAAGGGAAATGCAATGTAATTTTATGGAGATTAATGAAGAAATTAACAGGATTAGGGAAGATGATTATTATTAGTTACTGAGGAAAGAAGATGAGGGAGAAGGATAAAGGAGGGGATATAGGAAGGAACAGCTAGCACTATAGGCCGACATAGAAACATGACACTGTAGAAAGCCTCCTAAAATGTGTACACACAATACAAAAAAATCAATGTAACAAAGAGTTGGTTCTTTGAGAAAATCAACAAATAGACAAACCTTTACCCAAACTTATGAAACAGCAGAGTATGATCATGCAAATTAACAAAATCAGAAATGAAAAGGGAGACATAACAAAGGACACTGAGGAAATCCAGAGAATTATCAGGTCACACTTTGAAAACCTGTACTCCACAAAATTACAAAATTTAAAGGAAACAGGCAATTTTCTGGATAGCTATCACTTGCCAAAATTAAATCAAGAACAGATAAGCAATTTGAATATACCTATAACCCCTATGGAAATAGAAGTAGTTATTAAAAGTCTCCCAACCAAAAAAAAGCCCATGTCTAGATGGCCTCAGTGCAGAATTCTACCAGAAATTCAAAGAACAGCTTATACCAAGTCTTCTCAAAGTATTCCATGCAATAGAAGCAAAAGGGTCTTTGTCAAACTCTTTTTATGAGGCTTCAATAACATTGATACCCAAACCACACAAAGACACAACTAAAAAAGAGAATTTCAGACCAGTATCCCTCATGAACATTGATGCAAAAATACCCAATAAAATACTGGCAAATTGGATCCAAGAACACATCAAAGCAATCATTCACCACAATCAAGTAGGTTTCATCCCAGGCCTAGACAATCTATGGGGCCTTGGGTAGTAGATCAATATTTATCCCTGGCATACAGATGGACTTAGGGTGCCCATCACACAACAAGAGATGCTCTCTCAGCCTGGACTCTTGGGGATGGCCTAGGGAGCATTCATAGTACTGGAAGACACTCTACATGCTACCAGAAGGGAAAGGTAATCATCAATACCACCAACCTACAATCCCTGTGACCTATAAAAGTACCCTGCTTACAAGTTGTATTAGTGCAATGGTGTTACAAATGTTTGAGGAGTGGCCAAATGCTTTTATATTGGATTTAAGTCCCACTCCATTAGATGTAACCCATATCTGACACTGCTAAAGTGGTCAAGAACCTAAAACTAGATAATTCATGGGGTTAGGGGAAGCCTAATAATATTATTCTTTTAAAGAACTACAGCAATCAAGTGACTCCTAATAGCTTTCACTATACCCATAGATCAACGTCTTGTTCAACACACATCAGAGAAGCTTTTTTTCTTGCAGCAGAGGATAATTAACACAGAGACCCACAACTGGATAATGTGGAAAAGTTGAGAAAATTTGGAGCACTCAGTCATGAATGGTATATCGTCATCAAACACCTCCCCTCAAGGCTCTGTATGAAAGAGGAGTTAAAAAAATTGTAAAAGCCAGGCGTGATGAATGACTCCAGGGAAACAGCATCTTCCAGACACAATAGGACTGAAGCATATATGAACTCACAGAGACTGTAGCAACACACAGAAGATCTGCACTGGTCCAAGATGGGGTCCCATCACTGAGATGGGAAGACATTGGGTCCCAGTTCTAACCATTAAACTATTTCCAATGGATGCCCATCTGTGAAGGGACAGCAACTTTTCTACAGTAGAGTGTCACTGTATATAAAAGCAACATTCCAGAACTGGTCTTATTACCAGGAGTAGTTGCCCAACACAAAATGAACTCAATGGGCTTTTTACAAACTACTTATTTTCATTTTGTTTTGTTTTATCATTTATTTTTTGTCATACTGGTCTTTTCCTTGTTTGTTTTGATTTTCATTTTCGTGGAGGTTGTTTGTTTTTCACTTTTTGTCTTTGTTTTGTTGAATGCACAGAGAAAATTATAATAGTAGGTGGGTACAGAGGTGTAGAGAATCTGAGAAGTATGGCATGGGGGAAGAATATGATCATATTATTTTGTTAAAAATTCCAAGTAAGATGAAAACTTCTATATATCATGAAAATAATTATAACTACTGTATGGTATTGAATGAACATTTTATAATTTTATCAACAAAATATAAATAGTTATTGAGCTTTTAAGGAATAGTTTTAGCTATATTTCAAACAATAAAATACGAGTGCTCACTAGAATTTATGGTAATACATGTACACATCAGTTGTATACATTTTTCTAAACTATTACTAGTTAAATATGTATTATTTTTGAGCTATGCTATTTATTCAAGTATTCTATATGATGTGAGACAAATAGAAAAGTAAATAGAATGACATACCCATCCTTCAAAGCTTGATTATTTGGAGGCTTAAGATTTGGTGATCCCACGATGTAACCCAGACCATATCCCAGTACTTGTAAAGCTTCACTAATACCTTGAAAATGAACACAACATCAAACAGCTTCGCAGCCTAACTTGTTCATAATATGAAACAACTCGTGTGATGCCTGAAAGGTTTCCATGCTATTCTCTACTACTTGAGAGAGGGAAGACAGGGAGGAAAAGAGGGGAAGAAACAGATGAGGGGATGAAAGAGCAGGAGAGAGAAGATTGTAAATAATTTCTGTAATTGATTCTAACAAATCCCAAATTGGTAGGGCAGGAGGCTGGTGGAAAATTCATGTAAAAGTTGATACTAGTCTTATAGTTGATGCTAGTCCCAAGCCACAATCACTTCTTTTTTGGGAACAGTCAGTCTGCACTGTAGGAATTTACATTGCTTCAAAGAGGCCTGCTCTATATCAAAAAAGGTCATCTGCTTTACTCAGTGACTGACTGTGAATGTTTATCATCCCTAGGACAATGCCAGAGAGCCATACAGAGTATTGTCTGACATGACGACTGGGTGGTACAGTTCTTTTCTAATCAAGTACTGGTACTTAGAAACTTTAACTAGGAAATTAATTGTATTTCATTCAATCTACATATTTAAGGTAATATAATTATATTTATATTCAGTGTGAACTAAATATGTATTTTTAATATGTCACTAGAATAAGATAATGCATTTGCATAGTTAGCTTTGCATCATTCCCCCTAAGCTTCCAGAGTAGCAGGAAATGGTACTATAATAAGCCTCTCTATATATTGCACTGATACGTGCCTTGATTTCTGTTAGCAGAAGTAAAATGAGTGTTTTCTTCCAATCTTGGCCAATGTTAATAAGACACAAGCATTTCTTGTAGAGATATATAAATAGATATATTCTTTAACATAGTCTATTGGAAATATTTTCTTAGCCCTGGTGGAAAATTGCTCGTTTTCAGTGCAAGTTATTACTTTGTTGTTGTTGTTGTTGCTATTTTGAGATATAGTCTTATCAAATAGTTCTGACTGACCTGGTACTTTCTATGCAGTCTAGATGGGCTTTGAACTCATAATCCTCATGCCTCAGGTGTCCCTGTGGCTGGGATGGCAGGAATATTCCATACTATTTGCTCTTGAGATTTTTTCAAAATATAAAATAATTTAATACTTTGAAAATGATTTTTAGATATCACTGTGAAAGTATATCTTCATTATGTGTACCAGGACCAGACTTTATTACATTACATAAGAATAGATTAATCTGGGATGTATCCAAGTTTACTTAATGTAGAACACCATTTATATAAAACATTTTATGTGGAAGAGATGACACTGCATTCAGTTAACTCTCCCCTCTTTTCTTCTTCTTCTTCTTCTCTCCTCTCTCTCTCTTATCTCTCTCTCTCTCTCTCTCTCTCTCTCTCTCTCTCTCTCTCTCTCTCTCTCTCTCTCCCTCTCCCTCCCTCCCTCCCTCCCTCCCTCTCTCTGTCCCTGTCTCTCTGTCTCTCAGGGGGAAGAGAAGCACAGATGTATACTTTCTATTCCTCTAAATATATTTAGTGACTTTAGATGATTTTTACAGTGTTGCAAACTTCAGAATTAAGTAGATCAACGTGATTCTGAAGTTAATCAAACAAGCCATCAGTAGATATTACAGTGTCACCACAGGGACAACAGAATTTTGGCATCAGTTAAAACATACAGAAACCAAATAAATATTCAAAAAGTTCCAAACTTGCCTAGATAGGTGCCAGCTGAGTGTGTGGTCGTGTGGTCGTAAATGTAGGTCACACCAAGAATATAGATAGGCATGCCTGCAAGTCCCTGGAGACACTGCCCGAGGATGAAGAGAGAGAGAATTTCTGATCTGTGTGGTGCTACATTTTTCCCACATTCTGTCATTGACCTGTCTTCCTCTTCTATGCACAAGTCTTTCAAAAGATAAGAATTACAATTTACTGAGCTGAATTCAAATTTAAATGTACAATTAATTTGCAGTTGCTACCATCACCATCCCTTTTCCATTTCATTTAATATCCTTACATTGAGTGTAGTCATGAAATAGATTAGTGACCACATTTTACGTAGAAATAACACAATAAAAGAATATGTGTGGGAATACTGGAAGAGAAACATGTTTATGAAGGAAACAGTATGATTGTTTAAAAGAATAGGATAACATGTACACAGATATGCTTATATACATACACATTTACACATACATAGTCACTTGATCTGGAATTTTCTTTGGGCCACCAACCAGCTCCCAAATAAAGACATGGAGACTTATTTTCAGTTAGCTTACCGTAGGCTTGTTAGCTAGATCTCTTAATTTAATGTTCCCAGTCATTTATGTTTTGCCTCAGGGCTTTTTACTCTTCTTTCATTCTGTGTGTCCTACTTTCCTGCTTCCTCCATGTCTGGCCACTGGCCCCTTGTGTCTCCCTGGCTTTTCTTTTGCCTTCTTCCCCTGAGCCTGAATTCTTCCTCCTACTTCATCTTCATACTCAAAAGTCCCTTCTCCTTCACTATTGGTCATTCAGATTTTTATTAGATGAATCATGTACCTTAGGCTGGTATGGTAAAACAGCAGCACATCTTTACATAGTTAAAAAATGCAACACATCTTTGCATGGTTAAACATTCCACAATATGCACTCATTTTTCTGTACTTTCCAGCCTGTTCTAATGACTTTTGTCTCCAAAATAAAGTACTTGCAATGCCCTGGAAGATTTGAATTGCCAAAGTCCACCATCTGAGTTTAGTTCTGTGGTCCTTTCTCTAGAAATCTTTAAATTAAAACATGTGCACTACTTTGATTAAATAATTTCCTGTTTTTAGATCCATGAGTTTCAGTAAATACCTCCACAATGTCTCATATACAAAATGCTTAATTATCTGTGGATATTATTTGGGGAGGTTCCTAAAACTGTAAAAGAGAGATACCATCTGGTCTCTGACAGGAATGTCTTGTCCTAGCCCCTTCCTATCTTCACTATGTTTGTCTCCTACCATGAAGTAAATTGACTTTCTTTTCTCAGAAATCTGGGGCATTTTCTGCCTGACCATATAGATTCAGAGTCAAGGGAGTCTAGCAACAATGAATGGTGCATTCTGGAACCATAAATTAAAAACACATTTCTCCTACTTTTAAGTTGTTTATGTCAGCATTTGTTTGTAGAAACAAGTCAACTAAGCAGGTGATAATAAACTATATTTATTTGGATCATCTTGGATGAAATTTAAAACATGCGCTTGAAATATAAAAAAACTAGTAAAGATTGTAGCCTATTGCACTACTGAAAAGTTATTTGCTTAGTTTCTGTAGAATAATGCATAGCTCTAGGGCAAATGGGAAGATGTTTTCTAAATTGTGATTTAACTCAACATGGTCGTTCTATCCTGTCTTTTGTAATATAATAATGCATGAAGTATGCAATGGGTTTATTTATGACTTTCAAGTGCATGTATGCAATATATTTGTATCTATTTCATCTCTTTTTCTGTTTGTCTGACACTTCCACTGGTTGGCTTCCTCTTCCCAATTAGAGCCCTCATCTACATTCTTTTTATTCTTTCTTCTTTGCTTCTTTCTCCTCCTCCTCCTCCTTCATCTTCTTCTATTTCTGTTTTTCTTAATGAAAAAATGAGTTGCATTAAAAATGCTTAGAGTAGAGTGGGTAAATTGTTGTTTATGGACACACGGGCACCTTTCCAGGGACTCCACTGCTGAACTAATTCTCCTTCTCTCAACCACATCTAGCTACATATAAATCACCAGCAAGGCACGGGGACTTGTGAGCTCCTTTCCTCTCCATGATAGGATGCTTGCAGATGCTATCTTGGATAATTTGTGTGGAGACACTCACAGCTTCCATGAGTTCAAGAGTACAATGGCCTTTTCACACTACTTCCCATGTATTCCACTTCATCAAGCCCTTTCCTTCTTTCTCTTCTACAATGTCCTGTGGGCCTGGGAGGTTCATTTTTATTTGAGTATGTAACAGTCACTCATTCTTAATTTTAATCTCCTAAATATTCTAGTTAATGACTTTTAGTGTGTGAGCCAAATAATAGGTTCAAACCCTATTAGAATGCCCCTGTTAACTATCTCAATTGTCCCTTATGTTTCTTCCCTAGTTTCTTTATAACTTTGATTTCTATAACAACATACAAGCCCTCAATAAAATTACAATCTTACTCAAGCTATCCCTTTCCTATGATTCTGGGTTATAGTTTTAGAGCTGAAGTAAAACATGTGGCATTCAACATCCATTTTGACTTCATTGTGAATAGAAAGCAAATTCTTCACACTCTTTACAATCGTAGAGCAGCTTTGGAGCCCATTTACCTTTTCCTTGTTCTAGAAAGTGGAAGTTAGTAGTTACATGATCCTAAGGAGGTATTTCTGAGCTTTCTGTTGAATAGTATCTGAAAACAAATGTTTCCCACATCTATAGTCAATCTAATCTTTTTGAGTCTCAACAATAAAAAGTTAGTCTCTGTTAAGGAAATTGAAGATTATAAATAACATACAAATTGCACACATAGCAAACCTGAAAAGAGAAATTATCAAGAAATATGAATTGTTCAGTATTTCAAATACTGGGTAAAGCTCCAAATTCATAACAAGTTTTCACTGTAGTAATTAGCAAAAGTTATGTTAATGGGTGGATGGAAGTAATTCTGTTGTAACATTTTCAGGGAAATCCATGTTGAAGTTCACGACAGGAAGAAGTATAGAAAATCAAGGAAGTTCCACAAAATCATGCATGAAAACAAGAAGATTTCAACAGATGATAAATAGACGACTGGCCAGAATTGTGTCTGCTATTATTATTGTGAGAAGAACATGGAGCTAGGGAGGTGGATCTGCAGTTCAGGGCTCTTGCAGAGAACCTGGATTCTGTTTCCATCACCTGACTGGCAGCTCACAGACATCTGCACCTCCCATTTCAGACTCTGACAGACACCAAGCACACACATGTGTGCATGCATCCATGCATGCAAAACACTCAAGAAAATAAAACAAAATTAATGTTTAAGTGCTTTAAATAAATTTAAAAGACCTCCCTCATCCATCCCCAAATACAGTATAACAATAATAAAGAAAAAGAGTCTGTGAATTTGAGAGTGAAGAAACAGAAATATCAGTGATTAGAGACAAACAGCCTTGGAGCGTGTGGAAGGACAAAATGTGGGAGGGGTTAAAAGATGGAAAATGAAAGGAGGAAATATGTAATTTTATTTTAAATAAGCAATACTAAAAGATGAAAAAGCATTCAAAATTTAGAGGTGGAATAAAAAGAATTTGCTTACACTGAAGCAATAGTGAGAACTGAGAAAGAGCACTAACCTACAGAGACCCTTAAAGAGGATCACTACTGGGACAAAGTTTGGGACAGGAGCACACAGAATAACCACTACAGGACACCACCTTCATTTTTCATTGGAGGGAAGTGAAGAATGCTAATATGGATGTGTAGGTCCAATTAAAATTTCAATGTGAAGAAATTAAGGCAATAATTGCCACCCCATGACATCATTTTTCATCCAACACAGGACATCTTAGGAAATCTGTAAGAAAACCTAAAGTCATTTCAGAGTGGACTCAAGAATTCTAAGTGAATAGATCCATTTTTGAAGATGCTAATACTTCCATTTGGCAGCAGAGAATTCATCACAGGAGTCATCAGCAGGGAGAAAAGTGAAATGACAGGTGCGTGATTAACTCCCAAGGTTTACAAAGCATAAAGAACCATGAGAGAGGAGAGTTGAGGACACTCACTACAGGAGGTTTGAACGATGTTGCTATGTTATGTTGGCAGACAAAAAAACAAGCTACAAACAAAGGGAAATAGTAACTATGAGAATCAGAAAAAGCATCCATCCCCTAGTCCTCATGGAAAAAGCAGAGTAAGTTTAAAACACTCATGTCTGTCACCATAAAGCTGATCTCATATAACCTCAGAGATAGATGCATGGATGGTCACTTTGTATGAAGTTTATTAGAAAACAAAGATGACAATATAGTATGAGCATTTTCATGAATTTCTGGATAATTTTTTGTTGAATATTTCAAATGTGGTGAAGTGTGTCTACATGGGTGTTGAGGCACAAGTCTGAAAATGAGCCAGTCATCTTTGTAGATATCAATGGAATCATGGAGCAGAAAACAGAATAGAAATGGAAAGTTATGGACAGTACCAAAAAGGTTCAAAGAACTCACAATGGAAGCACCAAAATGGAAAGAACAAAAAAGAAAATAAGTGATATAGCAAGTTGATAAGAGGAGTTGATAAATAAATGAAGAATCTCTCCCCACCCTGTGTGTGTGTGTGTGTGTGTGTGTGTGTGTGTGTGTATCTGTATGATATCAGAGTAGGTCAAATATCTGCACAAAAGAAATACTTGAGCACTTCTGCGAGGATGGATTCTGTCTGCTTCTTGGCTATCAGTCACCCAGTGAATGTTCTGAATGAATTTTAGTAGATGGATATGATGCACCTAATCCAAGTAAAACAAAATGTAGACAGTATGAACATTCAATAGGAATAAAAGGCAATTTTATTGCTATAGCTCCTCAGCACTGACAACTTCGATGGGTTTTTTTATTTTTTAAAATTGTGTGTGTGTGTGTGTGTGTGTAAACCAATGCCAGCAGAGGCCAGAATAGGGTACTAGATACCCTAGAGCTGTAGTTATGGGAGGTTCCTAGTTATGAAACAAGGTTATATTTAGAAATCCAACTGTATTACAAATGTCTTTGCAGGTTCAATAAAAAACAGGTAAACATTAATTGCAATATTTATTAATTCTTCATAATTGCTACATAGTATATTTATAAAGTTTGGTGAGATGATACAATCATAATTGACCTTTAAGAAACTACAGATATAATGAGGAATGATCTGGGACAATAGTGTTAGAAATATATTCCAATGACATTTCAATTAGATCTTAGTAGAATAGCAAAATGCAGAATAAACAATATCAAACAACATGAGAAAGCCACGATCTTTACGGATTCAAATGCAGTCAAGGAGTAGCATCCAGCTTTTGCAATGTTAAGAATAACTTAGAAGTTTCCCCTTCTTTGTGTGTAGGCTTATTCCTGTATTTGAATTTATGTGGGTCTGTGCTACAAAGAGAATGAAGGGAGTAATTAAAGTATCTAATGGACTTCTCAAGAGATTTGTAACCCACATAAAACTGTATAAAAGAAATAATATTACAAATTTTCCCACAGTATTCTTTCCTACGGTCATCTCTTCTGTGTGGTAAATCAAAGAGCTAATTAATTAGACTAATGTAACTTGTAAATAAGCATGGTTACATAAACAAGGAAGAATACAAAGACATGCATCATGACCTGTTTTAAAAAGCTTGAAGCAATTATTTAACTAAATATTGATTCAGAATATTGAGTATATTTGAAAAATCTCACCTTCGCTTTCTTCCTTTGGCATTACAACTTGATATTTCATGTATGTAACAGCACAAAACATGGATCCAAGTCCCACTAAAAAAGCAGCAGCTGCCACCCACTTTGGCCTGTGCCATCTACTTCCATAGTATGCTACCAATATTGCCACCAGCAAAGATATAAAATCATAGCTGAAGGACAATATAATATTCTCTGGAATTGACAGATAAAATTCCTTTTGAAAGTGTCCAATACTCAGACCAACAAGACCAAATATAAAACCTAAAATAAAAAGAAAGACAGAAGGTAATATAACACATCTTAACAGACAAAACAGGTTACCATTATAATCATTCAAACAGTTTAATTTATACCTTTCTGAAAATTTTTGATCTTTTTGAAAAAAACAATTATTTCATGTTCTTGGACATTAAATAAATAAATAATAACATAATGTGAATAACATAATGTGAATACAATCGCCCAAAGTTAGAGTTGTTCGATAGCTTGGATACTGTGCTTGGAGTTTAAAATTTTGAGCATTTTCAGTCATTTTAAAAGAAAGGATATAGACTTGTAAATTGCCTCACGTTCTTGAATATTAAATAAATGAGATCACAATGTGGATACAACCATCATCCAGCAAGTAAAGAAAAATAAATCATACTAAATGAAACAAAAATAACTTGATACAGGGAATAGTTACAAAATGTATTACATTTATGGGAATGAAAACAGAAAATAGTTACAAATTAAAATTCATGATAGTCTACAAAGGTCCTTGATCACACACAAGACATTGCTGCACTAAGCACAGCTGCTGTTGTCCAACTATCTCAAACTCTCCTAGGTTTGCAGCAATCCAGGAGCGGAGACTCTTCCTAAGGCTCTGAGAAGCCACTCACCAGCTGGTCTGCTGTCCCAGCAGTTCTCACAGCAAGACACAAGGAGCACAGTGCTACAGAAACATTGGTGATTGCTGCTGATAGGATATCAATTCCCTACTTTACCTCCAAGAACTTCAGTCACCCGTGACTGATCCTTCTGTGTAAATCACAAGCAAACCAGAAAATCATAGGAAATTCTTGCTTGACTTTTGATATGTACTACCCAAGCCTTTCACTCTCAACAAGTGTGAGAGCCTAATCAAAGTCAGTGAATAAGTATAGTTTCTAAGTTAACCAGACCCTTTACAAAGAAAAGTAAGTTCAGAAGTAGACTGATGGAGTTTTTATTAACAAAAATTACTAATGACAATATATAACTAAAATAATAGGAGGAGGGGGAGGAGGCAGGAGGAGGAAGACAAAGTGTGAATAAAAACACCTTTGCGATTCTTCCTACGGTGTGGACTCTGTCAAATCTTACCATCCCTCAATTCACAGACAAGGAAACAAAATGCAGACAGCTGCTTTGCTAGAGTGTTTCAGCATTGTCAACTGAAACCACCTCATGACCGTAATGCTGTTTTCAACTTTTAGCCCCCCAAAGATTCAACCCCGAACTTAAGTTGGTCATCAAATAACATGGACTAACTCAACACCATCTTCTCATCACCTCTGTATCTGAAGACCTGCTTGATACTCACAGCATAGAGTGCACCCTGCCAGGTAGGTAGCCAAAGCCCGAGGTAACGACACGGCATCAAGTTATGTGATTTTGATTCCATTCATGCCTGGTCACGGACCCTCTCCTTCCTGCCGTGTGTATCAGCCTTGTCTACCTCACTCCTCAACACCCCAGAGCAACCCTGCTCCTCCAACTCACCTTGAGCTAGGACCACCATACAGTACAAAGTGAGGAAAAACTTAATGTTGTTGAAACGCTGTAAATTAGGGAACACTAGAGGGCCCAAACCGAATGGCCCTTCCAAGGAAGCGTCTTTTTTCACATCTGGTAACTTCGTGGCATTTGAAGAAACGGGCATTTTATGTTTTTTGAAACTTGTGAACTTCATCATGGCAGTTGGAAATGATGCCAGCAAGGGGGCTATTTTCCTGGGAGCCTTGGAGGGCTGTTGGACCTTGTCAGGTCTGGCTTCCGTTTCATCCTCCGTGCTGCTGCTTTGTGTCTGTTCTGGTTCCTGGTCCATGGTTTATCCGACACAGTTCTGTGGAGAAGACAGGTTTGTTTCGAGACACCTGTGTAGTTTGTGGGCTCGAGTGACTAACGCTGAAGAAGCTGGCACTCTAACCTCTGCCGGGGAACGTTACTTTCCATGCAGGAAGCCAACATCCGTTGGCTGACGTGTCAGACGTTCCAAGACTCTATTCCATCTTCTGTGTGTCACATAGAAGCAAAAAGGAGGAGTGGGGGGAAGGAGGAAAAGGAGGGAATGGAGAAAGGAGGTGAACACGATAAATCTATATTGAATGAATTGCTCAAATAACTAATAAAAATTATTTTTAAAAGAAATACAAGGAAAAAAGAAGTGTGTGAGCATAGGACTGGGGAACCAACCCGCAGTATCTCCAGGCTTGCTTCAGTGTGCTGTCTCTACAAATGGATAATCTCACTTGATACAAATTTGTTGAAGTACTAAAATAATAAACAAACAAGTAAAATCAGGAAACATGGGAAGATATATCCACTGTGTCAGAAGAGTCTTTAAGATTCATAGCCTCAACTGGGCATGGTGGCACACACTTTTATAATCTTAGCACTTGGGAAGTAGGGGCAGGTGGGTCTCAGTGATTTCAAGGCCAGCCTGGTCTACAGAGTGAGTTCCAGGACAGCCTCTAAAACGATACAGAGAAACCCTGTCTCGAAAAACAAGCAAGCAAAAAAACAGAAAGAAAAAAGATTAATAACCCCCTTTCCCTAAGCCTTGTTTTTTTATATATGTGTGTGAGCACGCACATGCGCGTGCAAGCATCCACACAAATATATATGTCACTTTGCTTATGATATTATCTTGGTGTTTGAGGACTAGACTTCAAGAGATCAATATAGACTTGTGCTCACAACTGATTTGGAAACTTTTATCTGACTTACGCACACATGCTGCGAGTTGCAAGATCTGTCAGAATTCACAGCACTCTTTCTGTGATTTAGATGCCAGAAGGGATTTCATTGGCTCTCGACTTTATCATTCAAAGTGCTGTAAAAGATGGTTTACTGACACCTATGGCACATACTGTTTCATATTTTGTCTATATCTAAAGAAAGTGGATTTAGAGTCTTCAAAAAAAACCATCTGTTGATACTTTCATTATTTACATCATCTCTTTGGAAAATAATTTCATTATTTTCAATAGTTCCAGCTAGTATTCTATGATACTTGAACTCAGGTTATTATACTATTTACAATTGATTTCTGTCCCAACTGGCCTGATTGCAGTAAGATCACGGACCCAGACATGGCCCTTGGCAGCAGCTCGGGCCCAGATGTCACCATGGTCTTGGGTGGTAAGCAGGCCATCCAAACCAGCCTGTTCCCTACCATCTTCTCTTCTTCAGCTCTCCATCTTTCCACAGCACATGAACCATTCTGCTTCCTTTCCCTCCCTTTTCTCCGCCATATATATTCTCATCCTAATGGCCCCTACCCATCCATAAAGGACTAAGCTTGTCCTTAACTAGCTTGGACTATAATCAAGCTCTTGTCACCAGTCTTGTAAGGCAAATCGACTTTATCCATGAGACTTCCTACTGTCTCTGAAGAATGCTTTCCATGTGGAACACCATGTCTTCTATTGTTTACATGCAGACAATGGGGGAAAGTTGCCTCACCGGTTTCTAACTTACCAGGGTTATACCCATCCAAAATTCAAACTCTGTGTCACAGTAGCCTAACTCTCAGTCACACTCGTGGATATTTATAACTACAATTGAACTGTTAGCTAACTAATAACTTATTAAATGTTCTTAACTAATCCATGAGAACAATGAATGAGTCAGACAATCTTACTGATGTGCACTAAAATGAGATAGCCAGAAATACTCTTACAATAATTATGTGTCCTTGATCCTTATAGATGTTTTACAAGTTACAAGTAAAACTATAAGACACAAATAGTATTTTGGCAGGAAAAAATTAGGAAAACATAGGGCTGGAACTCCAATACACATGGTAGGGATAGTACAGATGGTCTAGCTCTACTCTGCTTACTCAGGCTGCTCCTAAAACCATGTTCTCCATCAATGCTCACACACCGTCATCTTTGAGGAAGCTAAAAAGAAAAATGATGCCAGAGCCCACCCCTAGGGTTTCCATCTAATTAGTCTCAATCATGACCTTTGATTCAGGACTTTATAAAGCTCTGCCTGTTTGTAACATGCAGCCAGTACTCTCGTCTACTGTCCTGACATAAAAATTAGCCTTTTCCTATCGTTCTGTTTCTTCTTCATCTTTTTGTTTTAATTGCTGTTCTATAAAAGATGAAGTTCTAGATGCTCAAGAATTGCTCTCAAAAGCAGGCTTGAGGTGTTGATACCCTGTCGTTATGCTGACCCTACCACCCCACCCCCTGACAACTGGCAGGGTATGCAACTGGCCATCAAGCAGATACTTAGAAAGCTCAAAGGGCCTTGTGTTGCATGGCAAAACATGCATCAAGTGGCTACCGTAAGGACTCTGTATGCAGCTGAGGCCATGTGGAACTGGGCCAGCAGCAGCTCCAGTTTCAATGGCCCCAACTGCTGAGCCTCGTTCTAAACTGCTCCCTTTCCCAACAAACTCCACGTTGGTTTTGTTGAGTTTTGTCATCCATGTTTCATCACCCAAAGCTGCAGCAAACAACATGAGTATTGTTATGTTTTGAATATGAAATGTTCACCAAAGCCCCATGTGCTAAATTCTTAGTTCCAAGATGGAGCTATTGAAGAAGGTGTGGGGTATGTAATAGGCAGGGTCCGGCTCAAAGTAAGCCCCAAATGGTGTGTTACTGGAACTTATAGCTCTTCCTTGGTCTTTAATCTCTTCTTTTCTCTCCCTTGGGCAGTGTGCTTTCTAAATGTCGGGCTGGTTTACACAAACTCTTCAGTAATTCATTCCGTGTGAGTTTCAACTGTAAATTCCATATTTTCATTTTATTTGGAATTAATGTGCTACTAGCATCATTGTTTAAACATCTTGGAAAAGTTCAAGGAAATATCTTATTTCCTTGATGTTGGAAATTTCATATATGTAAAAGATAAAATCCAAATAATTAATATATTAACACATCTAATTATGTCTATTCTTCACTCTGTTTCTGTGTTTAATCAAACCTTTTATCTATACAGTGTTTTGCCTGGATCTTCTTATCTCCATGCTGCACATTAAGAAGAGCTATGATACAATAAGGAATGAAAGGAAATTGGAAAAACATGAACCTCCGTCAGTGCATGGAAATGTCTTGCTCTTCCTAAAGCTAATCTGAGGAATGATGTAAAGAGAATCGATGACTTGTTACAGATTCTGGATTTCTAGTGAGAGTACAGGCTCTCAACCAGAGCCACCATGGCTAAGCCTCCCTATCTAAGAGTTTCTAGTAAAACATGCTACATTCATATTAAGCACCATAGAGATCTGGTGTGAATTATGTCCCAGAAGGAAGGACAAAGGGCTGAGTAAAACTCCTGATTAACTGCACTGGGCCTGTTCCTCATATCTCCTGGGCAAGGAGAGCAACAGGCCAACAGGGGCTGCCCAGCTCTTATTTTCAAAACAAGATAATTAGTGATGTTTACAGAACAGCCCCTATTTTTTGGCCTCTAACAAACTATTTTGCAAACCATGAAACATGAATATTACCATATTCCCTCAGTAAATGTCCACCGACTTAATATGTATTTTATCTTTTTTAAAGTGACAGAGAAAAATTTTCCATGGAAAATTCATGTTCCTCATGAGGACAGAGAAGAATTAGAATCTTTGTAAGCTCTCTTGTCTTTGTTAGTTATTCATTATATTCAAAATTGTGCCCCAAGAAAACAAAATCTTGATGTTTATATTTATGGTTTTTGTATTTTTTCCAAAGTAAAAATGTGCACCACAGAGGCAAACATGACCTCCAAGAAGTACAGTGAGATGCACACACTGGAACTCACTGGAGCACACATTTTGGCCCATCTTATTGAGGAAAAAGAAAGCAAGCACTGTTGAAGAGGAAAAACTAGGGTCAAGCAAGGAAAACAAATGACCACCCAGAACAGTGTGAAAGAAAGGTAAAATGAGAAAACGCAAGCATGTATTTTTTTTAGTAGCTCTAAAACCCAAATGCCCTCAGTACTGAGGCTGCTACAAGGAGAGTCTCTGTACAGACAGAGAAGACCAGTAGTGACAGGAACACATTGATAGTGCTTTGTGATCCAACTGACTGAATCCATGAAACATTCTAACAGCTAAAGTCTCATTTACAAATGAGTTCAATTACTTTACCCCATATACATATGGACACCTGAGCTTTAACAAAGAAGGAAAATCATACAATGGGAAAAAGAAAGCATCTTCAACAAATGGTGCTGGCTTAACTGGATGCTGGCAGGTAAAAGACTGCAGATAGATCCAAAAATTAAAAAAAAAACTTAAGTCCAAATGGATCAAAGACCTCAACATAAATCCAGCCACACTGAACCTCTTAGAAGAGAAGGTGGGAGGTACCCTTGACAAATTGGTAAAGGAGACCATTTCCTGAACATAGCACCAGTAGCACAGACACTGAGCTCGACAATTAATGGGACCTCCTGAAACTGAGAAGATTCTGTAAGGCAAAGGACAAAGTCAACAAGAAAAAAAGGCAGCTCACAGAATGGGAAAAGATATTCACTAACCCCATATTTGACAGAGGGTTGATCTCCAAAATTTACAAAGAACTCAAGAAGCAAGTCTCCAAAACACCAAAGGATTCAATGAAAAGTGGGGTACCGAACTAAATAGAGGATTCTCAATAGAGGAGTCTAAAATGGCTGAGAAACACTCAACATCCCTAGCCATTAGGGAAATGCAAAACAAAACAACTTCGAGATACCATGTTACTCCTGTTAGAATGTTAAAATCAAAAACACCAATGACAGTTTATGCTGGAGAGGATGTGGAGAAAGGGGAACACTCCTTCACTGCTGGTGGGAGCACCAACTCGTACCGCCACTTTGGAAATCAGTATGGAGATTCCTCAGAAAAATGGGAATCAATGTACCATAAGACCCAGCAATTCCACTCTTAGGCGTAGACCCAAAAGATGTACATTCATACAAGGACATGTGTTCAACTGTGTTCATAGCAGCATTATTTGTAATACCCAGAAC